TTTTAGGGTCTTACCGAGCCTTTCTAGGCAAACTTGATTCCATTTCTATTCTTAGAAATGTCTCTGAGGCTCTCCGGAATCCCAATTAGATGTCTGCTATGATGGTAGAAATGGATGCGTTGTAGCAAAATGAAACATTGGAGCTTGTATCTCTCCCTCTTGGTGAAAAGACTCTCGGTTACAAATGGGTATTCAGTGTTAAATATCTGCCCGATGGCTCTATTAATCGGTATAAGGTCCGTTTGGTGGCTAAAAGGTTTATTCAGATTCCTGGTAAAGACTTTAATGATACCTTCGCTCTAGTGGCTAAATTAACCTCAGTTCTTTTGCTTGTCTCCCTGGTTGCCTCTCACAATTGGCCTCTTCATCAGCTTGATGTGAAGAATACTTTCCTTAACGGTGATCTTCTTGAGACTATTTATATGGATCCTCTACCTAGTTTTCGGGCTGTGGGGGAGTATGCTGGAAAGGTTTGTCGATTGCGGAAGTCTTTGTATGGGTTAAAACAATCTCCCATAGCTTGGTTCAGCTGCTTCAATGATATAATTCTATCCATGGAGTTTGTTTGATGTCATTCTGACCATACATGTTTTATCCACCGTTCCTCCACCGGTCGATATATAATTATTCTTGTCTATGTTGATGATATCATCATTACTGACAGTGTTATCCCTGGGATTGCTCAAGTAAAGCTTCAATTGGCTAAAGTTTTTGATGTGAAAGACCTTGGGCAGCTCAGATATTTCTTGGGAATTGAGGTTGCTAGATCTAAGCAGGGTATCTCTTTATCGCAAAGGAAGTATGTCTTGGATCTTCTTCGAGACATGGGTATGCTTGAATGTAAACCTGCTTCCACTCCTATGGATCCTAACAGTGTTGTTAAAGGCGCGCCTAGGCTCGAGGCTTAGGTTTAGCGCCTATTGTCATCCCAGGCTCACTGATGTTCACTAGGCGCGCGCCTCAGTTGCACCTCGTCTTGCTTATGAGGCGCGCTTCACTGATATTTGTTTTAAAAAATACGATTGTTCTATTTCTTAAGCCAAAAAGTGTACTTTTGGCAACTTAATAAACAAAAAAGAAATCTCAATCATACGATACAAGGAACTTTTGTTCAAAAGAATAAAAAAATAAGAAAGCCCAAGAGTCAAAGTGTTAACCGAACAACGATAGAATGAGATTGTGAGATGAAGACGAAGCCATGTCAGTTCCTTCTTCTTCTTCTTCATATATATATATATATTTTCCCTTGGATCTTTCCTCTCTTCTTATCTTTGTTTACATCTCTCTCTTTGTCTGGTTCTCTTTTCTTTCTTTCTGTCTTCTTCTTTTTTTTTTTTTTGTTAACATATTTATTTCTTTTTGTGCTTTGTTTTGCCATTAAAAAAAACACATTTTGCTTTGCCTTTCAAGAAAACAAATTTGTGCTATGTTTTATGATTGTTGGATGCTTGTATGGTTGATGGATTTACTTTTTTATATTTGATATTAATTTTTAGAATATTGATATGATTTATGAGATATGAATGTTATTATGGTATTTTAAATTTTCAATTGTGTGCCTCACTTCACTTAGGCGTGCGCCTTGCCGTGTGCCTCACGTCTAGGCTTTAAAGGACCTCTATCACCTTGCTGCTCCTTGGGCCTTTAATAACACTGGATTCTAATCTGAAGATCTCGGCTGAGTCTGGAGATCTCCTTTCTAATCCCTTGTAGTATCAGCGCTTGGTAGGAAGATTGTTTTATCTTACCAATACCCGTCCTGATTTGGTTTTTGCGGTTAATGTTTTGAGTCAGTTTATGCATGGTCTTTGCACAGCTCACATTGATGCAGTATATCATATTCTTCGATAACTCAAGTCCTGTCCTGGACTTGGATTATTCTATTCTTCTAGCAGGCAGGTTGGGCTATCCTGTTTCAGTGATGCAGACTATGATGGGTCCAAGACTGACAAATGTTCCACATCTGGCTTCTGTACTTTCTACGGAGACCATCTTATATCCTGGATAAGTAAGAAGCAACCTGTAGTTTCGAGATTTTCGGCAGAGGCTGAATATCGTGCCATGGCCCAGGGTACTTACGAAATTCTCTGGCTTCGATCTTTCTTGAAGGAGCTAGGGCTAAGTGAAAAACAGTCCTCTGACTTGTTTTGTGATAACAAGTCAGCTATCATGCTTCAGATTCTGTTCTTCACCAGAGGACTAAACATATAGAGGTGGACATTTTAGCAGAGAGAAGGTTCGTTCGGGAATCATTAAGCTGTGCTTTTTTCAGTCCTCTAATCAGTCGGCAGATGTGTTCACCAAATCCATTGGTCCATCTTTGCTTCATTCCTCGATTACCAAGTTGGGCTTGATTGATATCTTCACTTCAACTTGAGGGGGAGTGTTGAAATATCTGTATTATTATTATTATTATTTGTTTTTGTTAGCTATTTTCAGCTTTTTATTAGGTGTTTTATGTAAGATCCCTATTATCAAGGGATCACGTAGATAAGATTCTCGTAATCATGGGATCGCTTAGATAAGATCCCCATAATCAGGGGATTACGTAGATTTTGGCATATTTCCTGTTTTTCTTTGATTTGGTTTCCTTTCTTTGTACACTATTCTTATATATAAATATAGCTCTCGGCTCTTGGTTTGAGTAAGCTAAAATCCAAAACTTCTTCTTTTGTAAGTATAACACTTATTACAGGTACACCGGTTGAGAACTTTGCACTTCCTTGTTACAATCTACATACTTATTTTAAGCACGGGCACAAGATGCCAAGAGAAAGCCCAAGTATCCAATCAGACCCTCATATGTATATAAATCAAGTAGACACCCCTAGAAGTGATTTCCCCACATCCAAAACATTAGACAAATATAATCACTTCAGACTGACTTAGATATTCTGACTCATCAAAATAGTTCCAACATCAAAATAATAAATTTAACCTTCCATAATTCCAAATGGAAATGAAACTACTATTTGCTCTCAAATTAAATTGGCAACACCCAACACGTGTCCGCCTAAAAAATAAAAATAAAAATAAGAATAAAAATAAAAATAGTCCTTCCCAAGCAAGCAACATAGAAGTGATCTTTTCCAAGTAAGCTAAGTAACCAACACCTTATATGCACAACTTTAAAAATCAATATATAAATTCTATTTAGGCATCCAACACAACTCAATGCAAGTAAGAACAAGAACCAAATGACAATGCATAGTTTCATGTAATGGGAAAATAATGTATACCTAATTATATTTCATCTATGATGAAAAAGTTTAGCCTACCTCAAAGCTAAATCCGAAGTTACCAAGATTCAAGTATGTAGACGCGTAGAGAAAGTTGAGATGAACGCTTTTCATTCTTGGCCCACCAACAAATTCCTTCCGATTTGTCTTTTAAGAAAGGAATAGATGAAGAAGAAGGCTAGGGTTTATTTTTCTTGCTCTCTCTACGCTCATTGTTTCGTCTCTTTTTCTTTTATTTTCTTTTCGTTGATTTACTTTATATACACACGGTCAAATGAAACTCGTGGGAATCGAATTACAAAAGACAATTTTCACACATTTTGCTTTTAGTTCTTTTTTTTTTTTTTTTTTTTTTTTTTTTTTTTTTTTAAAAATACTGAAAAGGTCACGCACAGAAACATGTATCTCTTGGTATATTATGCTTGCTTATTCATTTAGCCTAAGCATGTACGCCGAGGCTACAATTGTAAAGGAAACTGAGATTCTTATTGGTTTCCAAAGAAATCAACACCACCCGACCCCCCCCCCCCTTTTTTTTTTTTTTTTTCTTCCCGTAACCTGTACAGAACCGTAAGTCACACTAGGTAAAGCTATAACCTAAAGGTACAGAACTGTAAGGAACCAGTGCGTTTTATGCTTTACCAAATAAATAAATAACTAAATAAGAGCAATAAAATATTCCTTTTCAACCTATTATTTCCCTTAATTGTAATTGCACCTCCAACAACAATATCACACAAATGCACCCAAACATTAATAAAAATTATAATAATCACAATAAATAAATGACATTTTTTTGTAAGAAGTCGGGTGAATCTGTGAACCATCTTCTCCTTCATTGCTCGGTGGCAAGGGATGTTTGGTCTATGTTCTTGGCGGATTTTGGTCTTCCATGGGTTTTCCCTTTTCCACCGTGGATATGTTAGAGACTTGGAAAGGGTGTATAGTGGAGAGCTGAGTCAGAGATGCTTGGAGGGCTACTCCCCTCTGTATTTGGTGGGGTCTGTGGTGTGAGAGGAATAGGAGATCCTTTGAGATAGAGGAGTCTCCTATTTGGTCTCTTAAATTCAATATTCTATCTACTTTATTCTTTTGGGTTAATGGGAGGGATTGTAACTCTATAGATTGTCTTTTGGACTTTGTGGATAACTTAAAAGTTATAATGCCGCCTTGGTCGGTTTTGTTTCCTCTGGGAGCGCTCCCCTTTTGAGCGCCTTTCTTCTATATAATCTTATTAAAAAAAAAAGAAAAGAAAAAAAAAAGAAGGTCTGTACATTAGCTCTGGCCTTGAACCCATTGAAACTTTGTTTTTGTTTTTCGTTAATTAACTGTGATACTTTATTGGCTTGGTTTTGGCCCTAAACTTCGTGGTTGATTTTGGACAGGGCCCTGGCCAGTTCATTTACATATATTGCCTTTGGATTGGGTTGACATGGGTGATTGGCCCAGCCTAGCCTGCTCAATGTGCAGCCCCTGCACATAGCTTTTATTACTCAAATCTCAGCTGCCTTTGCACTTGTTTGTTTAATGAAAATTGACTATTTGGGGGGCAGTTCATGTTGTTTGTTCACTTTGTAAATGATTTTACTGGATGGAAAAATATTTTTATGATGTGATCAAAGTGATCGACTGATCATATTTAGTTAATTAGATGATGAAATTTCAGCTAAATCTCCTAGACTCCCATATTGCCTTTATCTTTTGTGTTGGTATGCTATTTATCTATTTATTTTTTGATCTGTTTCCTGAAACTACATGTAGGTTTAGTGGTGCATTATCTCTAGAACTCACAAATGATCACCCAAACATGCGCATCATCCATAGAAAAGTTGCACTAATCCTTGGGCAATGGGTTTCTGAGGTATGTTATCTCAACGATTTGTATAGTACAGTCTTTGAAACTCTAATCTGCTATTCGCTCTGTGTGTGTACATGCATGTGTGTCTGATTTGACATTTTAAAACAAGGGTGCCGTGAAGAATAGTCACTTGTTGATATCTCTTCAATGTTTTGCTCAAATTTGACAGAAAATCAATTACTTATCACTTTTTCTCTTATCTGGATCTCTTTAATGTTTTGCTCTTAGAATCAGATAAGTCATAAAACTAAGTTGACGGGAACTTCCAGGTTGACTCTGATGGCTTCTATCCAAGGCAATCCTATCTGCCCATGATATTTTACATTTTCATATGTCCTTCCCATCAATGTTGAGTTCTCATGCCTGTCTTTATATCATAGGATTCCGTAGGCAAAATATTAAACATACATGGGTGTGGGGCTTACTTTTTTGACCTTTTATTAGTTAGAAGTAATGGTCAGTGACTGCATATGTTGTAGTGCAGCGCTTGATGACAGTTACTTTGAGGTTCCGAAATATTGATACATCCATCTGATATCTCGATAATAAGGATATTGAGCAGGTGTGTATTTTGTGGTGATATCTGCAACTTAAACGCAAGTTTATGATTTTAGAATGAGCCAAATACTTGAGTTTGCCTCGTGTTTGGCTTGCTAAGAGCTGGTTTTAGCCTTTTCAGTTTGTCTTTTGTTAGTTAAGCTTGAATTTTAAAGCCACAGTTTCCTAGAGGGAAAATGGAAGCGTGAAACGTTGTTCACAAAAAATCATAGAAAACAGGAAAGATGGGTGATACAAAATTAAATAAAAAACTTCCTTTTGTGTTTTTTTGGGCTTCGCTCCCCTTTTGAGCGTTTTTAATAAAATCTTACTTATCAAAAAAAAAAAAAAAAATTAAATAAAAAACTGATTGGGAATATTATGAATAAAATTTGTCAAAATTTATGTAAAACACACACAAAAGAAAAAAAGAAGGTAAATTAAATATTTTTGTTGGGAAATAATTAGGGATATTTTCAAGGTGGTATTTTTGGCAAAAAGCATCAAGAGTATAGCAAATAAGTAAAAGTTTGAGAATCATGTTTGTAGTAAGTTTTTCTGCGATTCCTGCTAGGTTCCTGAAAGTTCTTTACAAAGGATCAGAAGAAAGGGCTATCGACTCAATCCACCAGTCTGAATGCAGGTAATGAAAAGCCCAGACCTCCTTGCAGTTTAAAGTATTAAAGGGGATCCCTTCATATAAGAATTCCATCTCAGAGAGCAGCTGCAGTCGTTTTGAAATGGAAATGGATTGGAATTCAAGGAAATATCTATTGGTGAATTAAGTTAAAGGAAATAATTAATTGAGGCATTCCCAAAATATAGGATACTTGGGTGAAATTAAGGAGGAAAAGCAAGTTGATAAGTATAAAAACTATGTCAAGCAATACTTAACAAGTTTAAAAGATTCCAAATATTATAAAATAATAGGAGGAAATATTTTTACACACATCATAAGAAAAAGTACCATCTAAAGCAAAACAATAAGCAAGGTACAGTACTCTTTGAGATTGTTGTGCACAGAATCACAGATAAATATTTTGATAATTTTGTGTTCAGACTCTTCCAGAATGTTCCATTGGAAAAAAGTTAGTTTTTGGTGTGATGTTTGAATTTCTGTTTTCCACTGGTTTTATTAAGGTTTACTATGGTACCAATTTTTTTTTGATCACTACACAGATTTTAGAAACAAAATGAAATTCTTACATGTTCCCTACAGATCTTTCTGGAGTTTCTAAAATGTTCCTGAAACATTTTAAAATGATTTCCCTTAAAATGTCTTTGATATTTCATCCCGGTTTTCGAAACTGTTTTCTGCCCTCAAACAAGTATCTCGGCAACTACGTTACTATTATTATTATTTGGATAATTACAACTACACTATTTTAATTCTGGCTCATTCTAGTCTCATCAATAATCCCATTTTTCGCTTGATATGTCCATGCACATTATTTTTTGTTGTGAAATTAAGGATTTTGAAATACTACATTTGCTGAAAAGCCAAGTCTCCAACCAAATAAAAATGCTCGAAGGCTCTTTATTTTGAGGTCCGTTCTTTATTTTTCTGCCTGCCGGGTTTCATGGATCCATTTTCCCGTGGAAGACGGTGTGGCGTTCAAAGGCTCCTCGCAGAGTGGCGTTCTTTGCCTGGACTGATGGAGAGTCCGTGGATCACCTTCTTTTGGATTGCCCTGTGGCTTATGCCTGCTAGAGTCTTATTTTTGGTTTGTTCGGCGTTCAGTGGGTCATGCCTCGGTCCTCGAGGGATTTAATTGACGGTTGGAGAGGCTTCAGTGTGGGGGCCCATGTCCGGGACTTTTGGAGGCATCTCCCCTCAGTGTTTGGTGGTGTATTTGGAAGGAACGCAATAGAAGATCTTTTGAGGGGGAGGAATCTTCCATCGGGGTGCTGAAATTTACCATTATTAGTTCTATTTTTAGTTGGGTGATGGGGAGAAATTGTATATATTTAGATGAAATCAAGGATTTTTTGGGTTCCTTGGGTCCCTAGGGCCTTTCTTTGTACAGCTTTCGGGATGCGTTCCCCTCTTGAATGCTCTCTATTATACTCTATTTATATATAAAAAAAAAAAAAAATTCAATTTTCCTAGTTTTTGTGAAGAGTCGATCAACTGACTTTAGCAGTGCCAGAAATTTGTTTCTACTCATTGATGCACTCTTGAATTCAACTGAAAAAATATTTATCTTGGTCAAGTTGAGCTAGACAAATCTTTTCATATTCTACAGTTTTAGTCCTGCACCTACATTTCATCCAGCGCCCTCTGAATACTCCTTGGATTGTATAGTCCTACTAGGTTTCTGTTTGATTTTATTGTTGAGATTCTGTCAGATATCTGTAGTGGAATTGTATTAAGATTATTTGGCTTGACTGTTATTCAGATTATCACATATCTGTATTGGACTGCTATTCAGATTATCTGTATTAATTATATTGTTGATGGGTAGGTGTATTTGAGGGCTTCAAAGTCCCAGACCTTAACAATTGCTGTGGAAGATGTCCTTTTGTCCCTCTTTTGCTAGACACTTTTTTTTTTTGGTAGTTTTCATTCGAGTCACATTAAGGATAATTCCGTAAGTATGATGCATCCCACTTTTTCTGTATGGCACATCTGTGAGAGAATGAGTATGGTCAAAGTGATAATGATGCTATGGGAAAACGAGACTTTAAAGTGACGAAATGGGATAGGGATTTAAGAACATGTTGTTACTACTTAACATTGAGTTGTGGACCTGTGGTGTGCCACGTCACCTAATAATATGCTAAGACAAAAATGAGTTGAATAGAATAATCTTATGTAAAAGTGACTCTCACATGGCCTATTGAACAACATTAATGGATCGAGTGTTTGATTATATATAGGGAAGGTGTTAGTCACTCCATATTTCCACACTCGTGAATGGTTTCCGTATTATTATGGATGATTCCCTAAATGTGTTCGTGTTTGGAATGCATATAAAATGTTGTGAGATTCTTTATTACTTTATCCTTTGGAGTATTTGTGGTTTTGTACGTATTACAACAACCAATGCAACTGTGTACTTTGGCATCAAAGTGCATGGTGTAGGTGTCTCTTTGCTCTGTCAAAAGGATTTTTCTGCCACAGTACTAGTTTGTTTGTTTTTTTTTTTTCTAATTTGGTTTTGATGTTTGCACTCTTCACAGATTGTCGGTGACATAAGAAGACCAGCATACTGTGCTTTGATCAAATTGCTTCAGAACAAAGATCTAGCTGTCAGAGTATGGCGCATTAATAGGAATCATCAATCTTGCCCATCTCCGCAATTTATTCACAAGTTTCAGCTTTTTAATTTTCTTTTGACTTATCCATGTTTAATAATGCTTCCGTTTATTCAGCTGGCAGCTTGTCGGTCTTTGTCTTATGTTATTGAAGAAGCAAACTTCTCAGAGCAAGATTTTTCTGATCTTCTTCCACTGTGTTGGGATTTATGTTTTAAATTGGTGGAGGAAGTGCAGGAGTTCGATTCAAAGGTAAATTATTGCTGCTGGTAATTAGTTGCTAGAGTACTTACTTGTTGATTAATTATACTTCTTTATTTTCTTCTACTCCAGTTTGCACATTGATTACTGATCAATGCCTGCTCCCCTTGTCATGAGTTCCCCATAAAGATGGCTTAGGTATCTTATTGCATGGTTCATGCGCGTGTTGGCAGAAAATTCTGTCAAGGATACAATTATATAGGAGTAAAAATGTATTGCATATATATGGTACACATGGTTGTAACTATAATGGTTGATGCCAAGGCGATAAAATTGTGTATTTTGTCAAGCGTCAGTGTCACACCCCTAACCTAGGAATACAACCCATTTTGAAGTCCAGGGCTGATCAATTATTATGTCAACTTCATTAATCTCGTTGCATGGTCTAGGCCTAAATAAAATCGAATTAGCGTTTAATTGAGAAACTTTGAGTTTCAACCTCTCTGACTTGATAAATCCATTGCATAAAACACAAGTCCAAATTTCTTGAATTGAATCTATAAATACTAGACCTATCCGGGATTCTTGGAAAAATAATCAAATACCAAAACTCTCATTTTATATTTATTAAGAAATTCCAAGTCGCCATCAACTTTCTGTCAGGTTCCTGACATAGAAATACTTTCTTTAAATTATTGAGATTTATATACTAGGATTTTAGTGACAAGGTCTGTATTTCTCGATGGTGGACTTCCTAAGCTTTCCAACCAGATACAGTAAATTATTGTTTGATGTCATTAGGCCCTTCAATTATTTCCTAAAATCAAGTCATTTGTTTGCCTGAATATTCTGATGAACCCAGGAAGATTTTCTAAATTCTAGATTAATTAATTACTGGTCTCTATCTCACACAACTATTTCCGACCAGATTGGTGTTTTAATTTGACAGCAAATATCTTTTGAAATTAAAACAAAAACTTGAATTGTTCTATCTAATATAGAGCACAACTTATTTCTAGGTAATAAAGATAGCCAGTTTGTTGCATATTTCTCCAAATTCGGCATATAAAAATGGGGAGGCGATATTCACACTTTCCTTTTTAATAAAAGCATTCCAATTTTAAAATGAAATGCCATTTGTGTCCCTAATTAATTTTTTTATTTTTATTTTATTTTTTATTGATAAGTAAATATTGTATAAAGAGCGTTCAAAAGGGGAATGCATCCCTCAAAACTACAAAAGGCCAAATAGGGCCTCTAAACCCTCAACGAACCCAAAAGATCTACAAACTCCTCTATGGATTCTATTTCTCCCAAGAACCCAACAAAAAAGGGTGCTAATAATACAAAAAGGGTGCTAATAATGGAGAACTTCAACGTACCAATAGGATTCTCCTTTCCTTCGAAGGACCTCCTATTTGTCTCAAGCTATTAACACCACCATACGCATAAAGGAGAAACCCTGCAGAAATCACGGACTTGGGCCCCCCACTGTACAACCTCTCCAAGCCTTTGGAAGACTTGGGCATAACCCACTCAACCCCAAACAAACCCAACAACAAAATCCAGCAATCCTGTGCTACTGGGCAATGCAAAAGAAGGTGATCAACCGTTTCCTCATCATTCTTACCCATAAAGCACCAATTGACTACAATCTGTTTTCTCCTCTTAAGGTTATCCTGGGTCAAGATCTTCCCCAAGATGGATGTCCACGCAAAATGCCATTTTTAGAGGAGCCTTCGAATGCCAAATAGCCCTCTAGGGAAAGGGGGCCCTTGGAGCATTTGAAAGACACCTATAAAGAGACCTAACATCAAAGCGACCCTAAGAGAAGGAATCCACACCCAAGAGTCAGAAACATCTCCCACAATCTCCTAGCGATACAGAAGCTCAAAAAAAGTAGTAGCATCCTCTATCTCCCAATCCAGAAAATGACTTGAGAAACCAAGGTCTCAAACCGTTCTCCCACTATCGAGACGATAGCAGTCGACTACCAAGGCATGTTTATCCGTAGTCCGGAAGAGTATAGGAAAAGTGAGTGCAAGAGGACGGTCATCACACCAAATGTCCTCCCAAAAGCGGATTCTCCTGTCCCTAATTTGAAACATAATGTGTAGAAAATTCATCCCACCCCTTCCGAATGAATTTCCGAACCCCAACTCCACTAGGGATTGTCACCTTTGAAGAGCACCAACCTCCTCTCAACTCCCCAAATTTTCTCCCAATCACTCTCCTCCAAAGTTTGTGCGAATATCAGCTCCCCAAAAAGTTCATAAAGACAAAAAAGAAAGAAGGGAGTGCAAATATCACCTCCCCAAAATGTTCATATTTGAAAATTCACTTCAGCTTGATTGATTTTCTGTTTATTAGTGTTATGGCTACCCAACAAAAAGAAAAATAAATTGTGAATGACTTAGTCTATGTCTATTTCATTTTATCCGGAAGAGGATAGTTTGTAGATTCACTTGGATGTCATATCTATGACCTGGGCTACGTTTTCTTGGGAATTTGAACATTTCTCTAACAGACTCATCTCAACAAAACTTTTTCCCAACTAATTGGAATCAGCTACATGAATCCCTTTCCATTATCCTCTAGTATGGACACAACATCAGTCAAACCATATGTTACCATATCTTTCCTTACTACTCTATTCATGTTAATTTATATCTTCCCCTTTCCCTAGCAGCATTACCTTCAATGTGGACAATGTCGCTCTTGACTCTTCCTAACTGGTGCACTTAGTGGTCTTCTTTGCGCATATTGAAACCATCTTAATCGATATTCTCCCATTTCATTTCCAATTGCTGCTATTTGAAATGTTTCACACTTTATTTCCAATTGTTGCTACTTCAACCGTTTCACGAATGTATTCATTTTTTAGTTCTATCATTTATTGTCCTGCTGCACATCCGTCTCAATATTCGTATGTCCCACACTTTATGTATATGTTGTTTCCTAGTTGCACAACATTTTGTCCATAAAAACGGTTGGTTTAATAGTTATTCTGTAGAATTTGCCTTTCAATCTTAGTGAGATGTGCTGATTGCACGATATATTAGACTCATTTAGCGTTGATTTCATGATTAATATCATCTTTAGTTTCTCCTTCATTTTGAATAATAGAGCCTAAGTAGTGTAAATGTTCCCCATTTTGGTATGTCTTAATTTTTAAGCTTCACTACATCCTATTTCTTTTTCTAATATTAACTAATGTCACACTTCATATATTCAATTTTATTCCTACATATTTTAAATTATGTTAATTATAGAGCTTCCCTTTAAACCTCCTGTTTAGCACTAATGCTTTCTCTACTTTCATCATTTAAAACAATATCATCAGCAAATAACATACAAAAGTACAAATGGAATCTCATCCTGAATGTCTCATTAGTTCATCCATAACTATGAAAAAAGGTATGTGTTCAATGCTAACTCATGATGTAAGCCTATAGAAATTGAAAACTGAAAATTTAATTGATCCCCTTACAGTCATTTAAACTATAGTCACACTTTCATCATGCTTTTCTTTTATCATGTCAATATAGTCCTTTTTGACTTGTTTCTTTTCTAAAATTCTTCATAGCGGATCTATAGGTACCCTATCATAGGCTCTATTGTTGACCTGCTTGACACAAGTCCAAGTTGATTTTCTATCACTTCTGTTTTTGTCTTAATCATTCATTCACTCTCTCTCAAAGTTTCACATATATATATATATATATATTTGATAGATAAGAAAGATTTCATAAAAACGCTCAAAAGGGGAGCGCTCCCAAAACATACAACTGCCGTCCATGACGACACTATAGCTTTAAGCTATCAACATCCAAAAGACAATCCACTGACATACAATCCCGCCCATTTACCCAAAAGAATAAAGAAGAAAGTATACCATACTTAATAGCCCAAATAGGAGACTCCACACCCTCAAAATATCTCTTATTTCTCTATCGCTACAAATCCCACCATATACACGGGAGTAGCCCTCCAAGAATCTCTGACTCGGCTCTCCACTATACACCCTCTCCAAGTCTCAAGCAAGTCGACCGCATATTCTGAGAACACCCATGTAATACCAAACGCAACCAAAAACAAAGACCAAACATCCCTTGCCATCGAGCAATGAATAAGAAGATGGTTGACAGATTCCCCCGTCTTCTTACACATGTAGCACCTGTTACCCACAACTTGACTTCTTCTTCTATGATTATCAATAGTGAGGATGCTTCCCAAAGCAGCTGTCCACGAGAAAAGAGCTACCTTCAGTGGTGCTTTCGTCCTCTAAATAGCTTTCCAAGGAAAAGTGGGGCCAGGAATCTCCACCATACTAAAATAGAAGGACTTGACCTCGAATACCCGACCACCACTTGGCTATAGACGAAGCTAGAAGATCTGTAACCCCCAATGGTTTCCAATCATGAAACTGTCTACGGAACCGCATATCCCAAGTCACCCTTCCATTATCAAGGCGCCAATAATTGGCAACTATAGCATCTCTATTCACAACAATCTAGTAAATTTGAGGGAACCTACGGGCCAAAGCCAAATCCCCACACCATATGTCTTCCCAAAACCTGCCATTTCTTCCACTTTGAACCTTGAATTGAATCCTTTTAGAAAATTCATCCCAACCTCTACGAATAAGTTTCCAAAAGCCCATACCCACTGGGAATCTAACCTCCCTAGATTGCAACCCTACTTCACTCTCCCCGTAATGATAAGCGATGACATGCCTCCAAAGCTTGATCCTTTCTCTCCCAAATCTCCACAACCACTTGCCCAACAACGCCTTATTAAATACATCCAGCCTTCGAATGACCAAACCCCCCATTTTAATAGGGGAACACACTTTATTCCAGTCAACCAAGTGATACTAGAACTTCTTCTAAATAACATCAAGTCTTCTAACAATTGTCTTAGGAGTCGGAAAAAGCAACAAAAAATAGGTCGGGAGGCTTGAGAGTGTGCTTTTCATAAGGGAGAACTCGGGAAGCCACCGAAGGAAACTTGCCATGGTACAGCCGCGGCCGGAGTCCACTGCTTCGACC